TTTTTGAGAATAATATCCTTCAACTTATTGCTTATATTCATTATAGTTGTTTTAAATAATATATTCTTCAATAGATATAATAGATATCTTAAATCATTACATATTTTAATGAAATTATAAAAGAATATTTAATGTTTCACTATTACTGTACTACTTGAAGAAAGATTAGTCGCTAAAAAGATTTAAAATTAATGGTAACAAAAGAAGAACCAAGATTTTAAGTCTTCAGTTCTTTCTAACCATTTCTAAAAATAAATCCGTCAAATAAAAAAAAGGAAAAATCATAAGCTGCAATAAAACTTTTCAAAATGCAGAGCACATAACAATATTAGTGCAAGTGATCTTCTAACTAATAAGATTCATTTTTTAACAAAAAGTGTAATAATCAAATTCTAGAATATAATTCCAAAAATACAATATAAATGTCCGAAGCAGTGTTTATTTTTCATGTGTGTGGATTCAATCAAATTACTTTGTTTCAAAAATCAAATAATTTTATTGGGTCCACACATGTAAAAAAATAAACGCAGTCCGAAGCGAATTAGGTTTGATAAATGACTTAGAATGCCTAAATAACAAATAACAAATTATCAATTATTGATCATTTCACGCTTAAATAACTTGAAGTTTCTTAATAAAGTTGATAAAGTATATTTTAAATTATATTATAAAAGTTAAATTGAATGATTTATTAATAATTCAATTTTTCTGGCAAATTTGCATGTAAAACAGATTAAGGGACAAATTTATAATAACAAGTTTTGAAGTTTTGATTATATATTTTAGTATAATAAAATGTATAATTTTAATTTTATATTAAATATTACAATGTCTAGATTTATATTTAATTAAGTAAATGCTTATAAACTAATTATTATTGATTATCAAATTTAAAGTAACTAAAGCCATACAAAAATAAACAAATAATATACGATTAAAATTCTATATAATAATTTTAAGTATATCTAATTGGGTTGGAACTAATTATAATTAGAAATTAAAATTTATATTATTGTTTTTTTTTTTACTGTAATTACTAAATAATAAATGAAGCATTATAATAAATATTGCAAGTAATTATAAATGAAAATCAGTATTATTGTAAACTATAATGCTGAGTAAATAGATCCTTTACTCAGACTATACTGCACAGCGTTGTAAATCCTTTTTACCTTAAACAATATATAAAATAGTTCTCCTGATATTGTTATGCTTTATTCACATCAGCTATAAGTTTCTTATAAGCTTTTAAAGCTTCAATATCATCTGGGCAAATTTCTAATGACATAGTTAGATCCACAAATGCTTCATTATATCTCTTCATCATGCGAAATGTTTCGCCTCGCTTTACCAAAGCAAACACATTGTTAGGCAAAAATTTTAATGATCTAGTTAAATCCCTAAGTGCATCTTCATATCTGCCCATCATGAGATAAGTTCTTCCTCGATTTACTAATACCCGTGCATAATTTAACTCAAATTCTAAAAATTTATTGAATTTATTTAAATCTACATGTGCTTCATTATGTCTGCCCATAGAACGATAAATTAATCCTCGAATGCCTAATACAACCATGTCTAAATCAACATTAATTTTTAATGCACTAGTTATATCTGCAAGTGCATTTTCGTATTTTCCCATTATACGATAAGTTTCTCCTCGAAATATTAAAGTATTAGTATTATTTGGATTAATTTCTAACGACTTAGTAAAATCAGCAAGCGCTTCTTTATACCGGCCCATTAAAAAATAAGTAGTTCCTCGATCAGATAACATAGACGCATTATTTTGGTCAATTTGTAATAATAATTCATTTAATTTATTTAAATCCACAAGTGCCTCATTATATTTACCCATTAAGCGATAAGTCAGTCCTCTAGTCGCTAATAACGGCATATCATTTGGAATAACTTCTAATACGCTAGTTGAATCTGCAAGAGCTTCTTCATACTTCCCTATTATGCGAAAAATCTCTCCTCTAAATTCAAAACCACTTATATCTTGTTTAATTTCAACTAATTTAATAGAATCTGCAAGTGCTTCTTTATATCGACCCATAAAAAAATAAATTAATCCTCGACTTTTAAGCATTTCAGGCTTAAACTCCAATAATTTCTTTAGTTGATTTAAATCTGCAAGTGCTTCTTTATATTTGCTCATCATAAAGTAAGTTTCTCCTCGAACTTCTAATATTGATATAAAATCTAATTTGGAAATATTATTACCGCGTCCAATTTCTAATGCCTTATTTAAATCTTTAAGTGCTTCGTTATATCTTTTTATTTTAAAATGATTTTTCCCACGTTTTCTTAATTCATATATGTCACTTAGTTCAATTTCTTTCTCATTATTATCAAACTGTGGAGGAGGTGATGTTAATAAAGGATTACGAGGTGGTAAAATATGAGAGGTAATAGATTGGTCTGGGGCCATAAATTTCAATTCAATATCCTCCCATAAATTTGGATCAAGGATTTTATGATAAGGACGAACTTTTTTAAAAATATCATTTCCGGAAATTTGGAAATAACGAATTAAAGGGAGACAATTTCGAAGAGTATTCTTCATAGCTAAAAAGTCAGCATCAGACCATTGTTCAGGGTTAGGATTTAAAGAAGGATTCTGCGCAATTCCCCATCTAATGACATGGTCCCAAATTAATCCTTCGCCTATTTGTAAATTATCAAGTTTTAAGATAAAGACTAGGATATTTTCAGGAAGTGTAATAAATTCACCAGAACCAAAAATTATATTTGGATACCTTGCAATAATATTGGCACAAAAGTGTTGTAAAGTACTGAAACTATCATTTTTAAGGCTAACTTGGTAAACAAGTGAAAAATTTAAACGTAACCAAGAAGGATTATTTTCAATTAAAAATGATTGGAGATGCTCAACCAATTCTTCAAGACCAAATTTATTAGAAGCAATTAAAAGATCAAAAATAATAAAACTTTCAACCTTTTCTAACGAAATAGTACCATCGTAGATATATCTACATGTTAAATTAGATTAAATATTTTATAATTAATAATTAAATGCTTATCATAATTATTTTAATACACTACATACTTAATTATGATATCAAACACTTTAACAGAAATATCTATATTATTAATTTTTTTCATGCCATTTTTATAGGAGACTGCACTTAATTTATTTTTAAAGTATAAGCATCGAGAATTTAGAATGACAGAATGTGCTTTAAATATTTGGTTGTTCGGTGCTTGACCAACTTCAATAATGACATTATATTCGTCGCCATTTATAAGAAGGTCACTTAAATTACTTGAAAGCTTTTCAAGAAACTTTGTAGCCATTCTAAATAAGCAGTTTATAAACAAAAAAAAACTATCTGAAACGTAGTGAATAACTTATAATGGATGAGCAAGTACGTGTGTCAAAAATTGTCATGGATCCTGATCATCCGAAGACCTACCGTATATACTGGCATAGTACTTCATCAGGTAATCAGGTACACACGTACTTGTTTTCTAGTTTAAATTTCAAATGTTTAATTTTTATGTGGCACAACGCCAAAATTAAAAAAGGAAGCGCGTTCGTTATTATTATTCCTATCTTTTTCTGTCACTTGTCTAGAAACATATAAACACTCAAATAAACTTTTAGTATGATATGGAAAATTCCTTTCGCTTTGTAAAAAATATAATCTTTATAATCTTTATTAATGAAATTCTACACGTAATTAACATTCAATTTTAAGATAATTCAAAAATATGAAATTTGAAAAGAAATTTAAATAAGAATTGTATTCTGAAAATACAATATTTATATAGACTAATTGGTTTAATAGGTTTATCATGCTTTTCAAATTATAGTGATCAGCAAATTTACTATTACAGTATACTCATTTACGACAATCATTTGAATAAAATAAGCATATGCTAGCGTTGATTAGAATTAAAGGAAAATGAAATTACTGTCTGTAAATCCTTATAAACTTAGCGATCAGCGTATGATACCATCTTTACTAATATTACGAAGTGCTTATCGATTCTCCATATATTCATTAAAGAATTTCTCGTATTTACCATGAATTTGAGTAGCGTCCTGTAATTTTGAATCAATCGAACTTAAATGTTTATGTATTTATTTTCAAAGTAAAAAAGTTACATGAAAATAAAGCTAATAAACTGCGTTATATTTGGAATAGATTAGAACAATGCAGAATGTCTATTAATAAATTCTACAAGGAGCATTAGTAAACAATATAAATTCTTTGTAAGAATGCGTATTAAAATATAATGGATAGGATTACCAGTAGTACACTGTACTACAATTAGAGATGGGTTTCATGCGTGCGCATGATTCCTCAATCGTGCGCATTAATGCGTATTCATGCGCATGATTCGGTATCATGCGCATTTTATCCCATCTAAATTTTATATAGGAAAATTAAAGTATATTTAATTTAGGCCAAGGTATGTAATGCCAGGCAAAATTAAGAAATAGGAATGTGGAAGTTTCCGAAAAGAAATTTCGGCAAATATCCGATATTTTCCGGAGGAAAAATATAAAATCAAAAAATTATATCATGCGATATCATGCGCATTTTATATAACATGCGCATTAATGCGCATTCATGCGCATGTTATTATAAAATGCGCATTTTTCCCATCTCTAACTACAATGTGATACTTTTTAAACTAAATTATCTGCTAATTATAAAATTAATTACTTCATATTTAAGTATTTAATCTATATAATTTAAAATTTAGTAGCTCCAAATTTTTTCAAACTCCTGATAACTTATTGTAAGAAATGCAAGTGGGTAAATCAAGGCTTGATTATCTTTATAAGCCCTTCGGATTAATAAAATAGATGAACAAACAGGTTTTTAGCTCTAAAACATGAGATTTGTATGCTTTATCTCCAAAGTGAGATTGTCCTTTATTTTTTATAAATAAATAATAGGCATGATAAGGCAAATCTAACTGATTGCCTTATTCCTTTTATACAGTAAGCCTATTCTACCATATTAATCTTTCCCCTTATTTCTGACAGATCTAAGCTTTAATCCTACTTGACTAATCCAAAGAATCTCTTCGGAAGGTACTAACGAAATAACGATCGACGTAGCAGAAAGAATCAAGTAACGGCTTATCCATGTGACTTTCTGATGTTCTGATAGCGTGAAGTCTATAGTATGGCGCCCTGAATTATGATGCGACATTCACAGGCTGAATTAATGAATATCGGGTACATATTGAGAGATGAGTTTCCTGATATGCACTGACAGTCTGTCATAGATCCGCCAAATACCTGCTGTATATCAGCAGCATATTGGCAGGCATATTTGTATGATATAGATACAAAGATTAATATCAGTAAAATAACAGCAAAATATTGGATATACCGATATCTTACCCTTAACACTATGAGCCTAAGAGTATTCGGTCGATTACGGTCGGTTATTATCGGCTAGTCGCTCATAGTCGACTAAACCGCTGCTTAGTCGTCGGCCAAATAGCCGGTTATAGCCGATAAATTATTTAATCGATTATTTAATCAAATATCCAAGTATGCAATAGTAATTGTCATATATTGGTTTATATTTTCGCTATAGGTAGCTGTTTAGACTCATCATATGTGTCGATCAACTCTGGTCAAATTGCAGATCATGAATTTTGATTGGACAAAAATATTATTCGTGGATCTGCATCAAATCACAGATCATTTGACCAGATTTAAAATTGGTTTGGTCTGGCCAAATGATCTGCAAATTTGACCAGAAATATGAATGTCGAATTAAGTATTAATTATCATTTTTATTAGCCAGATTATTAAAAATCTGACATCGACAACAATTTTAGCCGGCTGGTCAGCTAAGTTAAATCGACTACGACTAATAGTCGACTATAGTCGACTATACTGTTTAGCACTGTATACAGTACCCAGCGTGACAAATAATTTTTTAAAATATTATTTATATTTACCATGTGATGTTAACAATTAAGTTATACACGTGATTTTTAATTTTTCACTATGTAAAAAGCCGTGTCACACCGGGTACTGTATACAGTGCTAAACGGCAGTTGCAACCGAACCCATCCGCAGGTATTTGGCGAATTTATGGCTGACTATCGGGTACATGTCAGTAAAATTTTCCCGGTATGTACCCGATATTCATTGATACAACCTGTGATATTATACGCACAATTTGCGATTTTTACTACGTACATGTGATTGGCTAAATAAACAAACAAACTTAGTTTGTACTATCACTATAATCACCTAACTTGTACTTTTTTGAATTTTATTGTTAATAGCTCAAATCCGCATAGTTTATTATTTGCGCATGTATAATTTGGATAGATGAGTTGGTCATGGCAAAAAAATGTCGCAGACCGTGATCGCGCATCCACTTATTTGCACCGGTAATACAAACCTCTAAAAAGGAAATGGCCAATCAGAGGATCAGCCCGACATAGGATCCGAATACGTGCGAAAGAAGAAAAAAGCAAATAAAGCGAAAATTAGTGTTTAAATTGACCTTTGTGGACTAATAAAAAATAACGGGAATGAAATTTTACATACAGGAAACTCCAACTTATTATTTTTACGCACTTAGCTTATTTACAAAATCAATTTCCTTTTTGGTTTGTATTACCGGCGCAATTATTACATCACACTATTTTGATCACGGGACTGCGATATTTTTTCGCCATGACTAACCCACCTAATTTGGATATCTACGCATCACACCTTAGTGCTTAATGACAATGCAATCACGTGATACCGTAAAATCCATCTATTGCTACGTAACCATCTTACATTTTTGATACCTCTGCACTTACTTTTTGACACATCTAAACATATCTTGAAAATAACTAATAGGATTGCATGCTATTATAGCAAAGTTAATAAAAAATATAAAATTTTTGTGTATGCTTTGACATATTGTATCGCCGACTTGCTAACCAATCACATCTTGATCACGTGAATTTGCGCAGTCCCTATGTCCGTTGTTACGTCAATTTTTGTAATGTCCAAAAAAATTGTCATAATCCCGTGTGGGAATTTCCCATGACTTCATTTATTATAATAATAATTATCATATCGATATCATTTTCGTCATTAATAATGGAATGTATCTAAACGGGGTAAAGGAATATTGTAAATTGTATAGGTATGGTTAATTGATTAATAAAGCGGGAGGAATAACATAGGAATAGAGTAGAAAGAAACGGAACAACTGAGATAAAGGTAGAAATTGGAGTTATGGTTTAAGAGGAATAACACATACAATTCGATAAACATAATGATTTTACTTTCCTTAGGGTAACTATCATTAATCCTGAATCCCTTAATAAACCATTTTATCCCGTATACTTATGATACGCCCATGGCTAATCTGCACAAGCCCATTCATCGCTCTCTAAATCTGGGCGTAACGCCGTAGACTTTTTGTTCTGGTTGGGCGTCAATTTCACGTGTTACACCAGTAATTGTGGATTTAGTAAAAGTAGATCATAACGTTTCACGACATTTCATATTAGTTTATATAGCAGAAATGAAGTAGTCATTAACACTAAATTCATAATCGTTCAAAATGATAAAGTTACCAAACGAATGCCTTTTTGAAATAGTTAATAGCTTCCATACTGATTTTAAAAGCTTATTTTCATGCCTTCTTGTAAATCGCCAATGGTGTAGAATTATTATACCAATATTATGGAGCGAACCAACAAAATATATTGGTAATAGAAAACTTATAAGAATATATCTTATGGCATTAAACGCTAAAGAACAATCTCTATTGATTCCCTTTAATATTTTTCTTCCAAATTGTCCAAGACCGTTATTTGAGTACACAAGTTATACCAAATCTGTTGGATATAATTTATCCAATGGTATCAAAAAGTGGCTTAATGGTGAAGGATATGGATCTCGTAATTCAATTTTTATGTATAAAAGAATCGAACCTATGAAAGCCATTAAATGTTCTTTGGTAGCAATGTTTTTACGAACAAGCAAAAATCTTAAATCTTTAACACTTGACAATATTATTAATAAAACAATATTTGAGGGAATTTATATGAATAATACTGTTAACAATTTAAGTATTTATAACGTTTATTTTGATTACAATGAAATAAAGCTATTAATAGAGATTATTAACAAGAACACTACTTTAATTTATTTGAACCTTTCTTATAATCGATTTGATTCTGAGGGATGGAAAGCACTAGCAGAAACTCTTTGCATAAATACTACATTGACTACTTTGTATATTTGTGCAAATAATTTTTGTTCTGAAGATGCAAAAGTATTAGCAAAGGCTCTTTATAAAAATACTGCCTTAGCTTTTTTAAACGTTAGTGGAAATAATTTTGGTTTTGAAGGAGGAAAGGCTCTCGCAAATTCACTTTGTAAAAATGCTACCCTAACTTCATTAAATATTAGTGGTAATAAGATTGGCTTCGAAGGAGGAAAAGCATTTGCAGAGGCTCTTTGCATAAATACCGCTTTATCTTCTTTAAATATTTCTTATAACCAACTTGATTCTGAGGGAGGAAAAGCATTTGCAGAGGCCCTTTGCGTAAACAACACCTTATCTTCTTTAAACATTTCTTATAATCAACTTGGTTCCGAGGGTGGAAAAGGACTAGCAAAAGCACTTTGTAAAAACACTACCCTATCTTCTTTAAATATTTCTCATAATCAACTTGGCTTTGAGGGAGTTAAAGTATTAGCAGAAGCTCTTTGTAAAAATAATACTTTAACTTCTTTAAATGTTAATAGTAATAGTATCAATTTTGAAGGAGGAAAAGCATTCGCAGAAGCGCTTTGTAAAAACAATACCCTAACTTCTTTGAGTATTGCTTATAATAAGATTGGTTTTGGAGGTGGAAAAGCATTTGCAGAAGCTCTTTGTATGAACACTACTTTAACTACTTTAAACCTTTCCTATAATGAGCTTAATTCCGAAGTTGAAAAAGCCTTAGTAGATGCTCTGTATAATAATATTACTTTAAAATTCTTAAATTTGCAATCAATTTATTTACAAAGACATGAAAATTTAAAAATTTTTTATACCAATACTGCGCTAACATAATTAATAAAGCAAGATGCTTTTAGGTTCGTGAATGAAAGCTCGATGATGTTCAAAGTCCTTTACTTTATTTTGTGATATTAAAAAATACGGCATCTCATTTGCACAACTATATAGGTGCCTAAATTATTTTTGAAAATCGTATTTCCGGTAACCATTTCGGCAATACTAAATTTTTTATATGAAACCCTTCAAAAACTATATTATATGATGTATTTTGATGAAAAATTTCGGGAATAATTTTGAAAATTAATTTCGGCACTATATAAGACTAATTTCGGCTGCTGTTCTCATAAATTCTGGGACAACAGATAAAAATTTGGTCGAAGTTAATTCAGCCAAATTCGGTAAGCTTTTGATCTCGGGTACATAAGCTTTTGATTCAGTATAAAAAGAAATTTCAGTACCACATGTACGTACTACTTTTATTTTAACATAATACTGTAAAAAATGTCGATTCAACCATCTTTTTAAGCTTTCGTCTTAATACTTGTCCAATTTGTATGACATGCTTAGTACGAAAACCTACGGCAATGATTGTACTTGTCAACCAACAGATTCGCACATTAAACGCAAAAGAAGTTCTAGTCATAAGTTAAACTTTCTTAATAAACATGTAACACGATCTGGCACTAATAAAAAAAAGGTCAAATATTATCAAGACTTTATTAATTGGCTCAGAAGTAATGCAACTCAAGTTGAGATAAAAAATCAAGCCTTTATTAATATTTGTCGAGGGTGAACAACAGCTTTTAGGACAATTTTTTATATTTTTATATTGTTATTCTTATTTGTAATATCGATATAAATTATATTTAATAAAAATTTTATAGGACAAAAAAAAAACCAGCATGAATTAAGTAAACAAAGTATTTCGCAATTGTTTGAACTGGGAAGCCTTCTAAAATTTTTTGACTATTTGCCAACGAATATGTTTTGAAGTATAACTTTAGTGTATGGGTAATAAATAAAAGACTATAAAAAATAACAACCCCAGTGATTATTTGTATTTTATATTCATCCAATAATTTCTATGATACAAAAATTAGTCTTAAATTCAACTTTTCGGTATCTTTAACGTACGTACAATAAAATTAAACTACTTATATTGTAACATCAAAATTAGTTTTTGTATTTGGAACATTTAAGAACAGGAGCTTATGTGTCTGATTTGGACTAAGTGCTCTATGTCAATGAAAAAAATATGGACAATATGGACATAGCCCATAATTGTCCATGTCCATTGGTCCAAATTGTCCACATCCATATTTTGCAAACACTGAATAAATATAACATTACATTATCTAAAGCTGTTTTTCTAATGCATGTTGATAAGGGTCAACAGATCGAAAAGAAAGAGAAGAGCTGGTCAGGGGTTACATGCCACATGCTACAACCCATCTCTCAAATAATGGGGCAAATAGCAAGGATCAGGATCAAAGAACGAATCAATTAGTAATTAATTAATTAAATTGCATGGATCAACACGCAACCAGAAATACGTAATTAAATAAGCCACTGACCACAATCAATATATAAATAGTCAGTAAAGAAAATTTAATTTTGACACTCTTTCCCACTTCGACATAATAGTCTTTGGCAAACAAATTTCTTGACCCACCTCTCCCTCTGCACACTGTAGTCTCCTGATCCTGCCATTTTTCTATTTAACAGCTAGCCTGCTTTGAGCAGGCGGGAAACCATCAGCTGATGCTGCTTCCTGCTCATTCTACTTCTTGCTCATTCTACTGTTATGATGATACCTGGCACAATCTCACTTACTAATTTTCTGGAAGCATATCATCATTTCAGTTTGATTTACTTAGCTAAAATTACTTATAATGTATTCTGTGGACTTCTTGTCTTTTAGTTGAATTTATTTCTAGCACCTTTGGTTAGCCAGCATTGTACAACTACATCAATATAGAGATAAATCTTACTATAGCAGGTCACACATAGGTATTCGTTGAACAACTGGGTGAGCCAATACTTGTAAATTAGGTGTCAGAGGAAATAGCCCTCTGGAAAGTTTAATATTTCAAAGTATAATATTATTAAACCTAATAAAGTAGAGGCAAGACTCCAAATTTTTTAAAAAAAATAATTCGATTAAATGTACTATTTATA